GCGGCGCATAGGTGAAGTGCGCTGCGCGGTGCGTTAATTCCCGATACGCGCGCGCGCAAAAAAAAAAGCAAAAGACAAAAAAAAGTGTGTGTGTGAAGCAACCGTGATGTGTGTATACACGCTGGAGAGAGAAGGAGAGAGAGAGAGAGAGAGAGAGAAAGAGAGAGAGAGAGAGAGAGAGAGAGAGAGAGAGAGAGAGAGAGAGAGAGAGAGAGAGGGAGAGAGAGAGAGAGCACATAGCCCTCTCACATTATTCAGACGACCCCTGCCGGTACTTCAAAAGGTCCCTGCCAAACATGGGCAAGGGTCCCGTCGGCAGGAGCGGGGTGGTCATTGGATGGGTCGTCACTGGACATGTAGTAAGGAGGGAGCAGGCCAGCTATATATGGTGTAGCTTCAAATTCAGGTCCATGTTTCAGCAGTTATGGGTTACTGACTTACTAACTCGGCATATCATTTTCAGGGCTTCACTCCGCTACTCACCAAATGTGCAAAACTAGAATGAATCTTCTCCTAGAAACTTGATCCATACAAGCCTTACATTTTATTTCCGGCATGTGCTGACGAGTGGAGCGAGGCTCTTAGGGCCACCGCACGCTCGTAGGAAAAGGGAAAACATAAAAACGAGACAGCTACTGTATGTGCAAAACTAGAATGAATCTTCTCTTAGAAACTGGAATGGTACAAGCCATCCGTTTTTCTTTTCTGCGAGTGCTGATGAGTGGAGCCACTTAGGGCTACTGCACGCATGTAAGAAAAGGAAAAACAAAAAAACGAGACAGCTAGAGTGTTCGTAGTAAGTTCGTAACCCATAACTCTAGGAACACAGACCTGAATCCGAATCCAGGATATATTGCTGGCCTACTCGAGGTCTTCCAGCAGTCCAATGGACATCCTTCCAGAAGCACGGAAAGCCTGTTAATTACTTGCAGGGTACGAAGCGGCCTCAAAATATTCTTTTTCTGTGCACTTCAGAAGGGAGGGACACTTATGGGTACCACGACCTACCCTTTCTGATTTTTTTTTTAATTATTATTTTCTAAATGTGTCGCATCAGGTGCGCGTGCCCGTGTGTGCATACGCTGTGCGGTGCGCGTGCTCAACTTGCGCGCACGTGATGCGCCGAATGTATAATACATATGCTTTATGCGCCCATGCTACATTCCTCCCTCACATAGAAACGTCCTTCTCCTTTCTCTGCTCCCTTGTCATCATTTTCTTTCTGCATCCCGTCCCCTCCCACCTTTGCGTACACCCCTTGACCCCCCCGTTCCATTTCGACTTTCAACCTGAACTCTTGACTATTGCTAAGGCACTCTGGCACGGGACTCTCATCTGGGGCTGTCCCATTCTTACTTGGAAAAGTACATTTATAACGTATTTTCAGTGGAGCATTGATTAGTTCCTGAGGGGAAGACGATATTCTTTTTCCTTCTTTTTATGACCTTGTTGCTTGATTCTCTGTCCGTGAAGCATTCTGATGCACAAACATTTGTGATCCAAATGCCCTTCATTTCATGGTTACTTTCTTTAAGTCGCATTTTTTAATGGAATGGTACAAGCGATGATTTGGCTATTCTCTAATGGAGTTAAGTCTCACAGGAACACGGTGGAATCTGTTTCATTGGTTGGGTTGTTTTCTCTTTGGGTATGCAGGGATGGAACTTCGTGATTAGAAGGAGACTGCACATTTACAGTAGATTATCAGTTTGGCTGGTCCCTGTAGACAAGACGATATTTTTTCCCTTGGTTCAATGACCTTGCTGCTTACATTGTCTGTCTGTGAAGAGTACTGATGCACAAACATTTGAACTGGCACATGCAGCTTTCCTTCACGCTTTCCCTTCTTCTCATGGTTTTGCTGTTGGCCTCTTTAGGCCATTCTAGTCTGTAACAGTCTTAAGCGCACTTAAGATGAGTCTCTCAGGCTCATGTTATTTGATGTGTGTTTTCTGTTCCAAGAACTTTGCCATGAGAAAGACCGCAGAGAAGAGTTCATATAGAATGGGTGTGCATAGACTGCATGATGCACAAAAGTGGACGGTGGAGGGTAGAGGAGAAGGTGGAGGATTAAATGTGTGCTGAGGTTGGAGAGGAAAAGCTAGACTGTTGCTTGTGACCTTGGTCACTAACCAGGTCCAAGACCTCTCCTGCTGTCTCAGCAACAGGGCCTGCACTGAAAAACAGGCCTGGGATAAGAGACTGAGAAAGGCCTACCGTCTTCACCCGAATAGAACGCCCGGTCATTATAGCTGTATTTGGCACAACTTTTGCTCCAGATGCGGCGATGATGACCGGGCGTTCTATTCGGGTGAAGACCGTACCCACAAACAGACAAGCTGGCCCAAAACGTGAAGTGGTATCTGCCAAAGGTCCGAACAGGGCAACCAGGTCCCTGTTCGGACAGAGGTACTGTTAAGGCCAACTAGACCAGGATGCCCCTTGTGCAAGTGGAGTCAAACTTTCCCTTTCCCACAAATTTGAGAATCGAAAATGCAAGAATCTGGCTGCTTCAGATGAAGAGTGTTACTGGACGAAAGTGGCTTGCATCACCAGCCAAAAGAAAAAGAAAATGGCAAAAAAAAAATTCCGCCGTCACGGCTCACTTTCTGTTGGCGAACAGGGGGAACCTGCCTCAGGGAAAGGAGGCTCAGAGGTAGTGGTGGTTTAACTCTTTCAAAAAGAAGTAAAACGAAGAGTAGGTTCACTCCGAGCATGGGATAAAAGAAGAGTGTATCCAGTCTATGAGGATGGCATGGGAAATAGGAAGATGAAGAAGGGGAGTTCGGCATGGCAGCACGAGTGATGAATAATGGACTACGAAATCACTTCATGAACCATGCACATTGGGAGGCTGGCGGGATGTCAGTGATGCTCATGTGTCACTCTTTGCTCTTTTCCTCTCTTCTCCATCCTACTTTCCTGCTACTCGACCACAGTCCTGCTCATTTTGTCATTGTGCCATGTATGTTCCCCACCCTTATTCTTAGCTGTCATTGCTTTGTTGCAGTGCTTGATACCTCGTCTTCTTTCTCCATATTCACCCTTCTTGTCCACCTCTTTGTCCTCCCTTTCCATTGCCTTCACCGCGGTCGTTGTGTTCCAAAATCATTCTCCTGTGCTCTCCTTGTCCTCGCACTCATCCATTTCCTCGTCCTTGTGCTCCTAGCATCAGAATCCTTCTCAGCTGGGCACAAACTTTTGGAGTTGGACTGACCTGGATATCATTTTACTTGTCCCATTTCAATTACCTGGAGTTGACCTGGACATTGTTCGGAGTCGGGCTGGCAAACAAAGGCAGTTGTGGTGTAAACAAGGGATGTTGCAACCCAAAGGATAGACATCAGGGCCTCTTTCCGGTTATGTGAAATACCTGACGGCTGACGTTTTAACTATTTGTCTATGGCTGCGCAGTGTTGCCTCCATGCTTGACATCCCTTTTTATAAAGGGGACTTTTGTGGAGGGGGAAACAATAACTGCATCATATGGTTATGTGGGTGGCTATGAAGGGAGAAGCAAGTATACTTGGAGCATACACAAGGTAAGCAGTTCATTGTTCTAAGCAGCAGAAGCAAAGGTGAGGTGCTTGTTTTTCTTTCTAGGACAGCGGACCCCAAATGCAGACCTCAGCCATATCAATGGAACTCTCAAAGAGTGTCTTTGTTAGGAATCTGCCAAACTTCAATTTTTTCCATACATTGCACTCGAACAAACTGATGTGAAGACCAATCTTGACGACAGCAATTGGCGAAAAGCTGTACACCAAGCTTATTATATTGAACAATCACACCAGTGAAACGGTATTCACCAATTCGTGGTAGCTGAGGTAGATCCCAGGGCTCGATCCCTAGTTTCCCAACTTACCTGTGAAACGGTATTCACCAATTCGTGGTAGCTGAGGTAGATCCCAGGGCTCGATCCCTAGTTTCCCAACTTACCTGTGTACAATACCWGCGTCAACTCGAAGAGTTGAACCTGCGACCTGTAGAACCGCCAGTGGTAGGTAGGTCTGTCGTAGGTCTATAGGTAGCCAGGATTCGATCCTTAGACCTATAGACTAGAAGGCTAGCTGCAGTCCTTCTAGAAGGTTGGCAAGTGGTCAAGTGGTGCAGGCAAGTGGTCAAGTGGTGCAGGCAAGTGGGCAAGTGGTGTGACTAAAGCAAGCCCATGTTGGAGAGAGTCTAGAAAGTACCAGTCCGGTCCAGCAAGTACCACGGGGGGAACTGTGTGCACCATGGGCCAGGGACACAAGGCAGACCAATGCAGCACAGAAGTATAAATCAAGAGGCTGCGTCCACTCATKSATTCATTCCTGCGGATGCCATGCGGAAGCGCTGCCTAGCAGCTTGTGCGAGGAGGTCTGCAGAGTGCCCGAAGACGAAGTGGGCAGAGGAGTAGAGTGCAGCGATAGGTAGTGGCAGCTASCGCTGCCATAGCTGTAGCCTAGCATGTGTGTGTGKGAAGTGTGATACTGAGTGTTGCGTGTGGGACATCCAGGGTGATCCAGAGTGCGAACAGTGAGTTGTGTGGGCGCTCAGTCGCCATAGCCAGTTTGAAGAGAACTCTTATGTGGATACGATATCTTGAGTACTGAGTGGGCGCCTGTCGCCAATTTGCTGTTTCGCTGTTTGCATACATGACAAGTTGAATAATCGTAGTGCGATTTCACCAGCACACTCAATAAAATTAGAAAAAGGTGATGTCCACTTGAGGCTTAGGCTGCACTGAGTAGTCTGCAACAAACAGCACTCAAAACCGTGCAATATAGACGCAAAACTCACTGGCTATGACTGTCCCCAAACCCTCCGCTTCAGCTGCCAAGATTGGTGCTGCTGCTCCTCATCCCAAAAAAAATAATGAACCGGTAATGAATCAACTGTAGCCCTAGCTTGTCACGTTCTGCTATGCGGATTTTGCCTGGGCCTTCTTTTCCTTTTTTTTTGTGGAGAAGGTTTCTCCAATCTATTCGTGGGGAGAACACATTGAGATACCGGGGCCATCACCCTGCTTTGGCTTGAGAAATAAACAGAGTTCTAAACCGCTCATGAGTAAAATACGAAACCTATTGAGATGTTTGAGATCCTTGAAAATACTCTATCCCGAATCCCTTGTTGAGTTCATTGAAAGAAACCTAAAAATCTCTATTCCGGATCCTTTTTTGAAGTCTCTGCCACTATGCCCTTGCAGGGACACCAGATCTAAACATGAAGCACTAGCAGGACCAATCATTGGGGCAGCATATGGGCTCCATGCAGAAGAAGAGAACCAAGAGAACCACTCCTCTCTGGTCAAGGTGCCACCTTGGACCGGGGCTGTCCTGCTGCGGTGTCAAAGTCATTACCTACAAGGTCCTATTGGGCTCTGCCGTAGACAATTTTAGAGGTCTAGGTCCTTCAGGGTTGTATGGGTCCAAGATCACCTAGCAGTATGCTTACTTGGAGGTCCCAGGTTTGGATTTGACTGGCAGCAAGAAAGCAAAAACTAAACACTTGTTTTTTCTTTACATTTGGGCCAGGTCTTGGGTTCAAATCCCCCGGAGCCCAACACTCCTTCCGCCTTTGAAGTCCCTCGAAAACCTATTAACAAGTCTGTAAACTGAGATCGGATTCCATGAATGAAGCAAACATCTAGTATACAAAATATACAGTAGCTCGCACTATAGTCCCTACACTGTTAAGGGAACCAATCTCTGATCCAGGCCGTCGTCGGTCTTACCGCCCCACAGCCTGGATCGTCGGAAAATTGTGATAAATCTGAAATCTTACCCGTCGAGTCCAACCGGATTGACGGTCCGGATCGGCGCATGGTCTTAAGATCTTAAGACGGCTCGCCGATTTGGACCGTCGATCAGGCAGGACCTGATCGAGGTCTTTTGCTGGGAACCGGTTTGCCCGTTGGAGAAGGCCGTTTCTGTGCACGGGGAAACCGGTTCCCGTAGGCTTACCTTTTTGGTGGCGGCACGGGAAAATCCTACGGAGTGCACGTGGGCGATGTAATAACTGATTTTTGGTGGCAGCATGGGCAAATCCCACGGCGTGGGAAATACCGACCCCTATGCTACTCTACGCTCGACCTCGACTTTACTACTACACTCTACACTACCACGCTCGACTTCGACTATACTACTCCAGTCTACACTTCATGCTCGACTTCGACGTCGCATGTGTCCGGCACATACACACACACGACAAGGTGAGCCCTTATCCATCAGCCAAATGCATCCCAGGCAGACTGTCGGGGTTCAACCTCCGACGGCACACATGTTTTTGGTGGCGGCATGGGCAAATCGCACGGCTTGGGAAATGCCGACCCGTATGCTCGACCTCGACTTCACTACTACACTCTACACTACCACGCTCGACTTCGACTTTACTACAGTCTACACTACATGCTCGACTTCGACTTCACATGTGTCCGGAAATACACATGCACACAACATGGTGACCCCTTATCCATCAGCCAAATGCATCCCAGGCAGACTGTCGGGGTTTAACCTCCGGATGGCTTGGTGAAAGTCCTACGAAACAGTCTGGCTTAGTCATGCTTTTTTATGGAGTTGTGTGTAGCGAACATAACAACGCACATACACAAACACTCCCACACA